AGAAATAAATGGTTACCGAATGCTCACCCACTTTCGAAAAAAATTACCCATCGATCACCCGTTTCACTTTCGTCCATCCAACTAGGCAAAAATCTCTATGTGGCATACGGAAATCTTACGTGGCGACTAACACCGTTAAAAATTGACAAGTGAATATTAATTAAAACGATTTCTTCCCAAAATTTGAATGAATTGTCATTTACTTTCTTCACTGTCTTCCCAAAGTAAATGACAATTCATTCAAATTTAAATGACGATTCATTCAAATTTTGGGAAGAAATTATTTTAATTAATATTTACTTTTCAATTTTTAACGGTGTCAGTGGCCCGTAAGATTTCTGTCCGCCACGTAGAGATTTTTGCCTAATTGGATGGACGGGTGATGGATGGGTAATTTTTTTCGAAAGTGTGTGAGCATTCGGTAATCATTTATTTCTGGGTGAGCAAGTAGTAACGGAACTCAAATGTTTGTGATTGATGATTTAATTAACTCTTCTACCGTTCTATAAACTTTACCAGACAAAAAATTAGGGGAAAAAACACTTGACACCAATAACAACATTAAAATTCAAAGAAAAAAGTCATCTAAACTGAGATGAACAACGCAAAAATAGAAAAGGTGTGGAGCATTTGAATGGCCCATAGTCTATACATTACCCTGTGAACCTTGAGAAGCTCGAGAATCCCCAGCACTATATCATTGACATAGCAGAACCCAGAAGCCTCGCTCTTCTTTGCATGGTGAAGCCCACCAGCCCAATTGATAGCGATATCAGCGTCCTGACGATTCAACTTGACGGCGGCGCCGATTGAGCCACCGGCTGAGGACTGACAAAAGGGGAAAAGCCCATCAAAAACGGGACAGTCCTCACCGACATTGAACCGCTTGAGGTGGCGGGCGTGGGTGTGGTCGTGGAGGGTATCAGGGGTGACGGAGGAGAGGAAATCAACGTACTCAGGGGAGTGAAAGCGGCGGATGTCTTCAGGGCCGGCCGGAAAAGGGCGGCTAATCTCCATCCGCCGGTAGAGGGAGTAGTGAACAATCAAGTTGTGGGCCATGCGGATACGATGGGGCTTCATCGGATGGCCCTGGCCGTAGTAGTAATCGCCGATAGTCGGCTCGTAGAAGTACGACACGCGCCGCTTTCGCGCGTCGGGACAGGACGACGGCAACGATGCACCACCCTCTGAGTCCATTTATCGCCCTTTTTCGTCGTACTTCTAGGTGCTGATTAGCGGTGACCCCCGCAAAAGAAAAATAAGCTGAAGCAAGAGATTGTGATGTCTGGACTGCGTAGTATGAGGGCGCTGAACCCTTCTTAAAAATGTGTATCAAAGATTCGGCAAGTAAATTAAGGGTTCGTTTGGTTGTGCTTCTATTTTTTATTTTATTTTGTTTTTTTGTGGAAAAGTTTCCAAATAAAATTATTATAAGTAGGATTTCTTTAAAAAAACTGTTTTACTCGGACATAGCACCTTCAAAAAATTATTTAAATATATTCAAAAGTTATTTGTTGCGCCGAAATTGGCATAAGTCCAATTGGCCAAAACCCAATAACCCAAAAGTAAAGAAATGGTTGAAGCCCATTTGCAGATGTGTCATTGCCCAAAGCCCAATGTATCTTTGAGGCCCAACGTTACCAAAGCATCTTAATGCCGAGGCTCAAGAGAAAGCGGAAGCACTAATAAATTGATAAATTTTCGACGCTGAAGCACTACTTGTTCAAACTGAAACTCCGAAACCTATACCTCAAATCGAGGCTCAACAAAGCAAAATCTGAAGTTCAACTATGACAAATGATGATCTACGATTAATTATATTAAATTGCATAAGATCTTGAAATGATTGATTGGACAGCTGTAATGAGTGAAAATGGTTAATTATGTCAACACAGGGCATGGGTTGGCCGCTTCTTTAAAAGCATTTAAGGCGCCATAAGTTAAAACAGTCAAAAATGATGCTTATGATGTGATGTTTCGATCGAGGAGATGAGGTTACGTATCCTCTCATCCAATTGTTATTATTGTACGTGTAATATTATAAATAAACTCTCTTATTGTCATAAGAAGGGTTGGAAAAATGGGAGATCAAAAACTCAAAACATACTCCCTCTCTTTGACGTTGGAATTCCGAAGAATAACGCTGCGTAATATCGGTGTTTATTTTGTTTCTTTGTTAATCGTTCAATATCGTATTTTGTTGTTTTTTATTTACCGGATCTCAAGCATATTTGTCTCGTGTTAAAAGCTTCTCCCATGTTCAAATTCAATATTTTCGACTAGTAATCTGTCAACACGTGTCGAAATTAGTTTGCCAAGACACGAGTGGGCCCATATATGTTGGGGCATTTTTTGTGGTCAACATTATTTTTAAATACCAAAAACATCTTTAAGACTTTATCAAAAACCTATCAAACGGAATCCATTTATATTTGGTCTCAAAAAGGGTAAATTACGGCTCTTATTTTAGAAAAAATAATGTTTTAAAAAGTGATTTTTAGAAAAATGTATGATTAAAAGTAGAAATAAATTTTATATTTATGTGTAGAATATTTAATTGTATGAATGTGTGGTTGAAAATAAGTATGTAGAAAAAAGAGTTTTCAAATAATAGTTGCCAAACGAAGCTAATTTTTATCTATATATTTTGTGGGATTCACAAATATTATATTCACTTATTGATCCCTCATTTTTATCTACATTGAAAATAGGCAATTCGACCCAAACTACACCTAAAGGGGGTGAATATGTGTAAATGCAGAATTAAAAATTTATAATTAATAGCAACAAGTCAATAATTAATTATCTATAGATGATTAAGCGTACAATCCTATTATCATATGTTTGAATACCGCAAAATATAATGATAGTAAATAAAATAATAAATAACGTACGATATAATCACGGAGAAATCCCAACTGGGTAAAAACTCTATACACTTTGTTAGTCAACAATCCACTATAAATAATTTATAACTTACAGTCTACCAGATTAGATGACGACACGTACTATCTGATCTCCTGATTGCAATTCCAACAGCTCTCTTGGATTGTACTCTCCTGCAACAACTCCTAACTTTGTAAAATCGTTTATGTCATGTGAATCCACGAAGAACACTGTGTTCTTCAACGACTGGAACTCCAATCACCTTCCCTTAATCTTCAGAAACTCTGACAAATATATAAGAAGCAACAGTTTGGTATTTGGATTGTGAAAATGATGTTTTTCACAGTCAGAACATATCAATTTGAACAATGAAGGTTGAATACTTCAGAGGATGAAAAGAATATGAAAACAGTGGTTTTTCTCAATAATCAACATTACCATTCACATTTCGTGGCGTTTGACTATTTATATGTAGGTTAAGGAATGAATAGGTCGGACAAAAAGCCTTTAAAAACGAAATAAAAATTTTCTGGATAACATTGTCGTTCGAGTGAAGAGCAAGCGACAGTTGAGCGATAGGTTGTCGCTCGAACGAAAGTGAGGCGACAGTCTAGCGATGAAATTTTTGTTTCTGATGCTTGAGCCAAACCTTGGCGAGAAGTTAGAGAAAATCCACGCCATTTTTCATTCTTTACCATTCTCGAACCGTAAACCTAAAATATCACAATTTATACTAATTACACACTACTCCTTGATTTTTACAACATATCAATTCTAGTCTTTTTTGTTCACAGAATATCCAATTACATAAAATACCTAACATACATAAATAAAACCGTTTGAAAAAAATATTATTCACTTATTCTTATATAATTTGTGATTGAAAATTATTTATTAAATCTTTAGCAAACAAGTCATTAATCAAGTCGATTTCAACTTGATCAAGAATGACTCTCACATTAGACAATTTTGGTCCCATTTTTACGACATTTTATTCCATAAAATATGTTTATTCAGTAAAAACAGAACATTTTTTTGTTAATATATTATCAAATAATATATGCATATTAAAATTGATAAATTTTACAATATTTTTCTCTTACTACAAAAGTAAAAATAAATAATAAATTGATTTCAAAATATAGAAAATAAAAATAAAATCAGTGACATGGATTCAGAATTTTATCTATGTTTATTTAAATATTTTTTATTTTTTTAGAATTTTAGTTTTTTTCAAAATTTAAAATCTTACTCTTTAAAATTTATATTTATATTTTTTAGAATTTTTAAATATATTCAAATAAAATTTTATTCAAAAGCTTGAGGATGTTCTCTTCGTATTTCAGTTTTGAATTAATTTTGGATTTTGTGTGTTAAGTGTCCATTGTGAGATTACTGAAAATGCGTTGTTTTTGTCATTTTGAAAAGTTGTTTTCAAAAATAAAAAAATGAAGTTTTGACTTGGTTTTAATTGAAAACAGTCAAAACTATTTTATTTTTTTTGTGTTTTTCGTTTTCTTTGTAAATTTTAAACTCGTTTTTTAAAATTTGTTTTTGAAAATAAGTAATTAAACGTGTTTTCAGTATTTTCGAAAACTGAAAATTGTCTGAAAACAACAAAGAGAACATGCTTATTTTTCACGTTTTAAGTGTCTACAGTATTTTCATTGAAAACACTCAAAACGTAAAAATGCATTTGAAGTTTTTTTGTTATAAATTTGACCTCGTTTTCGAAAACGCATTTTGAGAAACACCATACCAAACACGTTTTCAGTGTTTTGCAAAATTGAAGGCCCTGTTTGGTACACATTATTTTTTTCATTCTCATTCTTTTACTCATTTTCAACCACACATTCTTCAATAAAATAATATTTTTCATCACATCAATAACTTTTCTTTCATTTTTAACCACACATTCTCCATTAATCTACTATTCAATAATACATTATTTCAAAAGAATGTGTCCCAAACACACTCTAAACCAAACACATCCTTAATTTTGATAAATATAACGATTGTATTTGAGNAAATTAAACGCGTGCTAATTACAATATTTGAAAACTTAGGGCCCGTTCTCTTCGTGTTTCAATTTTGAGTTTTGAATTCATTTTGGGTTTTGTGCTTTGAGTGTCCATTTTGAGATTATTGAAAACGCGTTCTTTTTGTCATTTTGAAAAGATATTTTCAAAAATATTAAAATGAAGTTTTTGCTTGGTTTTAACTGAAAACAGTAAAAACCATATTTTTGGAGTTTTCCGTTTTCTTTGTAAATTTTAAACTCGTTTTTGGAAACTTGTTTCTGAAAATAGGTAAGTAAACGTATTTTTAGTGTTTTCAAAAACTAAAAACAAAAAATGGTCTAAAAACAACAAAGAGAACATGGACTTAGTTTTTATAAATATTGTATATGAGAAAATATAACTTATGTTGATAGACAATGTCATTTGTAGTATCAAATGTCGATACAAATAAATAGATTGTTTAATTATCAACTAAACTAAAGTTTATCTGGGTCTTCAAAATGGTATAAATGAAAGAAGGAATGGCTATTTTCATCAACTATTCTTATATATCTATAAATTTTAAAAAGAATTATATATATTACATTTTTAATTTTATGTAAATTTAGTTAAATAGACAAGAAAAGCCTCGTAAGATTTTAGTTTGTTCTAGGAATGGGCACAGTCTGATTCGAATTGGTTATGAAGGGAATCGAACCGAATCAAATACCAATAAGAATTTTAGAAATAGAACCATTGGTTCCACATTCAATTACAAAACCGAACCAATCGGTTCTGATTTGATTCGGCCGGATTCTTTTTATTGAAAAAAATTATAATAATAAAATATGAAATTACTTTTCATATTAAAAATAGAGTAAACCACTTGTCATTCTTGTAATTTAACAATATAAGAAAATCTATTAAACAAGGTAACAACCAAAAATTCACTCAAAAACTCAAGATCAACTTTTAAAAGCGAAAAAATGATAAATTATTTAACACAACATAAGCAGTAAAATCTCGATCGAAAATTATTTGTTAAGAAAATTCATATAACAATAGCCTCATTATTTTAGTAATTTTTAAGGATCGTGATTTTTTATGGCCGACTACTTTGAAAACAATGATAAATTTGAATTCTTATTAAATATTGAACTAAAATATATATTTCCTTTTGTGTTGCATTAAAACTATAAATTTGTAAAATATTTATAAAATTATTTAGAGTTAAATTTCGATTACCCATTAAAAGAAAGAAGAAGAAGCATTTGGGAAATGGAATTTTAATACGAGAAAATTTTGGGGTCTAGTGTTTAAAAATGTAGCACATCTGGCTCAAGTAAAAAGAAAAATTTGGAAGAACTAAATTCACAGTTGGTTCTTAAGGTGATACCAAGAATCGGATCGGAGCCTATCGGTTCTCGATATATGGTCCCAAAGCCTATCCATTTAGTAGAGGAACTGGAGCCGAACCGAAAGGTTTCATTTGGTTCTGGTTCGATTTCGCCGATTCTGGGTAAAAATGCCCACCCCTAGTTTGTTTAGAGAGTTTTTAATCTTAGGGGGGTGTATTCAATTGCGACTTTCGAAGACTTTGATGGATTTTTTTAAAGTGATGACTTGTGTGGATTTCATGAATTTTTTTATAGATTTGTATAGAATTAGTGGAAATCTTTTGTAAACTTTTATAAACTTTCATTTTAAAAACTTTTAGAAACTTTTGTAAAATTCAAAATTTTTTTAAAGACTTTCATTTGAGATAAAACTTATATAGATTTAGTGCAATATTATGAAATTATCACATGCGAGATGATGTTTTTCACAATTCCCCCTTATCCTTCCTTTTCTCCCCATATAAAAAAAAAAAAATATTTTAAAAAGAATAAAAATTTAAGACCATTAAATAAATAATTATTATTATACATATAAAAAATAAATTTAATATTCACTATTATTAATATAATATACTTTTAAAAAATAAATAAAAAAATAAATTTAAATTTAATTATAAATTAGTCTATATGAAATTTTATAATTTAATAAAAAATAAATATTTTTCAAGACAATGAATGAAAAAAGAAAAAAAGTTATAAGAATACAATTTAATTATTTCATAGAAAATATAAATAAATAATAAGACAGCGAAAAATAAAAATAGAAACTAATATAATCAGTAGAAAAATAAATTTTAATTATAACTTTAATATTCGTATAAGGGAAAATGAAAGAGAAATATTGAAAAAAAATAAATATTAATTTCTTTTTTTTAATGTAAAAGTCTCCCAAAAATCTTGTGATTAATGAGAGACAAATTTTGATATTTTATTTTAGTACTTTCTGATTAAGAGCTTGTTTGGGAATGATTAAAATCAGATTAAAATTGAAAATATAGCCGTTGGAGTTGACTTTTATTATATGAGTGTGACCCAATAACGGTTATATTTTCAATTTTAATTGGATTTTAATCCTTCCCAAACAAGCTCTAAAAGTTAGTACCATGGAGACTTTTATAAAAGTGTCTAAAAATCATAAAAATTTGAATATCCCAAAACTTATAGAGACTTCTCAAAAGTTTTAATTGAATATACCGTAACTTTTAGAGACTTTTTAAGAGTTCATAAAAGTCTCAATTAAATACGCCAATACTTTTAGAGAGTCTCCAAAAATCTACATTGAATACCCCTAAACTTTTTAAATTCCCAAAAGTCATTAAAAGTTTCAATTGAATACACTCCCCTTAGTTTCTTAATAAGATTTATAATCGCATTCTCTTTCTCACTTCAATGCATACTCACTTTCCCTAAACAGACCCTTACTAGTATACTCCACTACCATCTTTGGTCATAGTCCCCCATTCGATGGGCCCATCCATGCACACTATCCGATCCAACATCTTTCAGGCAAATCGATTAGATAAATCGCTTCTCATTTCTGAAAACTTGACTGACTTGGTGATTGACCTCTGACTTGACAAGCTTGCTAGTAAATCGCCGACTAATTTGAAAACATCGTGCTCTGACGAAAGTGATGTTATTTTGGATGTCTCTCAGTCTATTAGCAACTTATCGACATTCTCCAACAATATATCTTAAGAGCTCCAAACACTTGCACATATCCCTACTTCTACGGATGTTGGATTGAATTAGGAGCTCGAGCTCTGCTCAAACTTTCTGTAGAGAGATAGACCTTTTCCACGGATATCATTGAGAATATTTCGCTTGAGAACTACAACCTGCTGTAATTATGTGTTGATGTGTTAGAGCAATGAAAGGTAAGCAAAAGCTAAATTAAAACTATTGGCCAAGAATCGTTTTTGGGGAGCCTGAGGCATGCGCTTCTCCAATGTTCCAAACCGTGGATTCAAGAGCTTGCAGTCATGGCGCTTCTCATTTATCCTTCCATGAAAGCAACAAAAGCTTAATCACGAAAGAATGTATTTTTAAAGAACGCGTGTCAATAGGGGGTTTAGTAATAACTCCGAAAGGTTCAAAATCACCATTAATTAAGATCAAAACTAAAAATCCTGATTAGAAAATTATCAAATCCAACATAAGCAGTCAGCAATGTTAAGAATTGGGGTTCCATCTTAAAAGGTCAACCTTATTAAGAGGAGTAATCCAATCTTTTATAAGTTGGTTTATCTTTATATCTTTATTCGATGTGAGATTTTATTCTTTAACATGCCCCCGCAAGATGGTGGCTCGTTTGAGCATACCAATCTTGAAATCTGTATGCTCACTTTTGGAGTTTTAATCTGATCGAATTACTCGTTAGAGTTTAATGGGCTCTGATACCATGTTAAGATTTGATGTTCCGTCTTAAAAAGTCAACATTTTTAAAAGGAGTAACTCAATCATTTATAAGTTGATTTATATTTACATCTTTATTCAATGTGAGATTATATCATTTAACAAGCAAGACGGTTCCACCCACCTTTTTAATCTTCTTCTTAGCAATATTTGAAATCAGCTTGGCCTTTACCACAACGGGTTGGGTAGGAGGCAGGACACCCTTACCCAAAACCTTGAAGTATGTGTACTGGGTCACATCGATCATTGGTATGGAATCCTTGCTCTTTTGTGCCTGGGCTTGGACCTCGGCCGGGACTCAGGTCCAAAGCTTTTCTATATTGATAGTGGGGCAGAAGAATTTGTTTTGGAGCTTGTGGAAGTAACGCATACCCATCTTACCGAATATACGGAATGGAACTTGTCGAAGAGGATACGGTGGTAGTGCATTCCTCCAGCATTTTCGCACCCGCGGGTGCTTGCAGTGCTTTCCGAACCAGCCGTAGTCGGCGCTCACGTGGCCGCTCTTCTTCTTGTGCTTCTTGAATCGGGTCGTCATTATTGGGTTCTCCAATTGGAGGAGCGGCGGGGATGAGTGTTTTATATTTATACAGATGCATGTATTTTAGGGGTTAATTATTTGAATTGTTTGAACTTTGTGAAGTGTTACGACTTGATAACGTAATTTTAAAATATATCTCAATAATCATTGAATTTTGTCAAATGTTACCACTTCATAATTGAAGTTACAGATATATTTATATGGTATCCGTTAAGTTCAACAAACGACGTCGAGTTGAAACTAAAATTTATAATAAAACAACCTGTCACAAATAAAACGAATTTTTTTTCTATTAATTCTTCTTAAAAAATCTCTCGTTTTTGTTTTTCCCAATTGGACTCGAAAAGCCACACTCCCAATAATTTTTCTCCAATGGTCCACGTGGACCACAGACTATTAACGTGTCAAAATATTTCGCATGTCGACATGACACAATACAATTCGAATAATGCATAACTCACCAATATACACAAGGACACATATAGAATATCTTATCAATTTGCAACATATATATAATAGCGTGTAAAATCAAAATACAATGTAGATTTGATGGAGAATTTGCAAAATGTATGAATCCCATTTCTTTTCTTTGCCATACGAAAAGAATCTTGCATGAACTCAACTTGATTGTAACATCATTAATATTATCTAACTGCACGTCGCGATAGGGATAGATTGAGGTTACTTACATTGATTCCTTGTCACTGTACCACTTGCATCCAATTTCATCTACGTGTTGCCCATTAGGATCCCATAATTCTCTACCAGTGGCTATGTACAAATTTCACGTGATCGAATTGATGGATTTTCCCTCCCAACACAGTGGGGTGGGCATTGTTTGCCTTGACTGCTATGGTGTTTTCATCTAGAGGAGTGATAATGATTCATCACCTGCGAAGAAGTTACCAAAATTAAGTTCAAGCAAAGATCTTTAGAGCAGTGTTCTAAAATGCGTAATGCGTAGCGAAGCGTCGAGGCCGAGAATCAAGAATCACAAGTTTAGGCGTGTCAATGCGAAGAATAAGCGGCATAATGCGTTTCATATTTTTAAGGCATTAAATATATTTTTATATAAAAAAAAAAATTTTTACCAAAAAAAAAAAAAAAAATTGTTCTAAAATGCACACCTAGGCGCGCTAATTGGGGCTAATGCGCGCGAATGCGCGCGAATTTTCGAACAAAAAAGGTCAAAAACGCAATTTCCGCGCATTGCACCAATTCGACGCGTTTGATCCGCGCATCGCGCCTAGGCGGCGCATTTTCGCGCCTTTTAGAACACTGGTTTAGAGTAGACAAATGCTTTCGAGCTCATATTCATGTACGGTCAAGTATGTAATACCGACAAGTTAAATGGTTTTAGTTTGAGCCAAAATAAGGTTTGGTATGTTAAAGGGATAAAATCTCACATCGAATAAAGATGAAAAGATAGATTAATTTATAAAAGTTTGAACTACTCTTCCTAATAAGGTGGAATCTCAAACCTTAATTTGGTATCAGAGTTCATTAAACTCTAACGAGTGATTTGATTTGATTAAGATTCAAGAGTACACGAATTTTAAGATTAGTCTGCTCAAACGAATCACCATCTTACGAGAGCATGTTAAGGGATAAAATCTTACAAATATTTTTAATATAAAACTTCAAATCTTAACATAGTATCAAAACTCATTGAAGAGTGCACAAAAGTAAAAATCTAGAACCTTAAAAGCTTAAGTGCATCTTAAGATTTCTCAGCAACCTAATAAAATGAATTTAGGGCCTGTTTGGTACAGATTCTCATTTTCTACAGTAAATCAATTCTCATTTTCAACCACACATTTTTCAATAAAATAATATTTTCCATCACATCAATATTTTTTTCTTCTTTTTCAACCACACATTTCCCATAATATTACTATTCAAAAATCAATTCTTCCTCCAAAAATCCCTACCAAACACACTCTTAGTCTTATAATGAAGGAAACAATTCCCAAATCCAACAACAATAAGAGGCCCTAGGATGGGACAGGGTGGGGTTGGCTTTGTTTGCCTTACTTTATTTGAGTGCACGTGACGAGTTTTGACTACTATGGTGTTTTTTATTTAGAAAACTTCACAAATTTTTACACGCAATTCGATTTGAAAATGATTTATCAATCACTTACCAAGAAATTACCAAATTTAAGTTCGAATGGAGATGGCTGGGATGGTCAAGATGAAATATTGGCAAGGTAAATAGTTTCAGTTTGGGAGAAAAAGAAGAGTTGCATGAACAAGATAGCAATTTGTACCAAGTAATGTGGGGGAACATAGCACGAAATCAACTATGTAGATTGCAAAATAATTCGATAGGATATGGCTAAATGAAGGAATGTTTGAAGAACAATTAGCGTACTTCATAAACAAATTACATGGAACACGCACGATTCTATCGAATTGCAGGTAGTATACACTAAGTCCATGTTTGACGATCATTATTTTAATTTTCGTACTCATTTTCAACTATACATTTACATAATAAAATACTTTTTTATGTAAATTCAAATTTTTTTCATACTTTTTAAGCACTCGTTCTCAAAAAAATTACTATTAAAAACTCAATTTTCTCAAAATAATGAGCATCAATTAGGTGCTAAATAAATAAATAAATGCTGTTAAGTCAAAAATCGCACTTGAGTGCATCGGAGCTCGAATAGCATGGACTCAAGTTATAATCATGAACAAAGCTGCTTATAATCTGAAACAAAGATGGGGGATTTTGACCTTATAGTATAGAAATGAGCTATAGTTTGATTAGAACGGAGAGGTAATTCCAATTGGATTAGAATAAGAAAGTATAATTGTAATTTGTCTAGGACTTGATTAAATTCAATTCCAGTGTGATTCTTTGCAGATAATATAACATTGTTAAATTATAATGCGGCTAGATGATCAAGAGTAAGACTTATAGTCGTGATCACGTTGTGTTTTTTTAGCAGCTCATAAGCCCTCCCTGCATCTAAATCTACCTTTTGGGCTTAGTAAGCAAATATCATCTTTCAAGTGTACAATTAAGTGTACAAATAGTGACCACGATGTTAGATGGCCAAGGTCTAAGGCAACACGCTTGAAAGAATACTCTAGCTCGAGTCTCTGTATAGGGTCACAATTGTGAGTAACGACTTACTATGAGTAGCAAATCAACTGTTAGGAGTGACTCATTGTTAAAAGAGACATGTTAGGAGCAACATGGCTATTAGGAGCGAGGTGACTATTAGGGTGACCTGGGGTTAAGATGAAATTTCGAGTCTTAAGCCATGTTTGGGAGGGATTAAATTTTTCTATAGTAAATCAATTCTCATTTTCAACCACACATTTTTCAATAAAATAATATTTTCCATCACATCAACAATTTTTTCTTCTTTTTCAACCACACATTTCCCATCATATCATTATTCAAAATCAATTCGTCCCCCAAAAATCTCTCCCAAACAAACTCTTAATATAATATTAGAGTCTATTAAGTTCCAACAAGTTATTCGACTCGATTAATACTCATAGGGTCACACATATTTCAAAAAAACAAATAAAATAAATTTTTGCGTTTCCGTATAAAATTATTTTATTGGAGAATGAGTTCTGAGAATAATTGGATCCTTTTAAACAAATAAATTACTGTGACTAATTAATACTTTGTTTGAAATCAATTTTTAAGCATATTTATATAAAAGATAATAAAATATATTATTGAAAATTTAATAAAAATTGTGAGTCCCGTATACTAATAATTAATTATTAATTATTGACTTAAAATTTTTAATTTTTTTAATTGAACCAAATAGGAAAAGTAATAATAAAATAGTTTACAAGACGTTGTTTGAAGCAACTGTTATTGTGGGGTCCCCTTTTTAGGAACACGTATCATAAAAGAATACATAGGTGGTTTATCGTGTCGAAAGATGCATGGATTGGAGCCCGACCAACAACTGGCTTAGCGGTTGGTTTGTGGGCCAGGTTGCAGACTAACACCTAGGAATCCGGCCCAGACCAGTCGAATCTTAGCTACACGTGGCCGTCAATTAGATAGCCGCCGTGGGGCCCGCGTAACGGTTCCATATAACCTCTGCCACTCGTCATACCTCCACTGGACCGCACTATCCTCTTTAGTTTTTTTCACGTGAAATTATTCTTTTTTGAAAGCCATTTTCTTTCGATAATTGTTTCGACGTGTCAAGAAGGTTTAACACATGCTCATTTTTTATACCATGAACAAATAAGTGCATGTTTGACATTTATTAATTTATATTATGATTTGCTGTATGATTATTTTTAATTATATATTAACACAATAAAATACTCTACACGTATATTAAAAAAATTTCATATTTTTAATTAAACATTCTCCTAAAAATGAGTCAAATATCATTTTTTTTCCAATTAATGAGAGTCAAACAAGCGCTAAGTAAAATTTTGAAACTCAAAAGGGAATAAATTTTAGTTTATGTTTGGCCCAGTTTTTTCAAAAATTCATTTTTTTTTCAAAATGTCGGAAAAATTGTTAGAATGTCAAGTGACAGATTTTCATTAAATTTTGCAAAAAAAGATTTAAAACAATCACACAAAATTTGCCACCTGACAATTTTCCCCGTACAAACAGCTTTATTCTTTGGAAGGAAAAGAATCATATGCAATGAAATGTATGATGTGCATAGATTGTTACGTCACATCGTTTCAAATTGGGACATGATCAAACGATCGAGATCGCATCCAATCATTATGGTATAAGACCTTTATGTATGCACTTGTTGCATAAAAACGTCCCATCCAGTTAACACTCCAATGAAACCCCCCCTTCATCTACCGATATGTGGCTTTTCCTTGCTTGGGGCTCAAATCTAGGACTTTACGTAGGTCTGAGTAGGTTCGGATTGCGACAAACCTTGTAGAGGATGTAGTTTGGAGAATCCTACGTAATTACAACTTACAATAGTTGGCTCTTTCACAAAGCATCTATCATGACATTCATTCATATTCAATAACTCTTATAATAGAATTCACTTTAGAGATTTATTCTGTTTAACATAAATATTCGTCTGATCAACTTGATAGACCGATATAGTCATCTAGTGACAAAGATTAATTACCAATAATTAAGAATTGGGTTTTCCTTTCTATTTCATTCATTCAACCTCTTGCTTACCAAACATCTCAATTGGACCATTGCGTTGAAATTCGAAAAACATGTGATGAGGAATATCCGAATAATTTAAATTCTATTTTTTTTAAAACCTTAGTACACACCAACTCTATAAATAGGCCTCATATTCGTTAAATTAGTTTCTTGAAGGTGACAGTAAATCTAAATCTTCTCTCTACAACATTTATCTCCTTCAATTTTTTTTTCTCTCTGCTAGCATGAGCCAGTCTTCAAATTCCAATACTAATAGCACCAACTGCACCAAAACCATCAAATTCCTCTACAGTTATGGCGGCAAAATTGCCCCCCGCACCACCGACGGCAAGCTCCGTTACGTTGGCGGATACACTCGGGTCCTCTCCGTTAATCGTTCTCTCACATTTGCAGGTCCGTTAGATTTTAAAATTATTTATTTTAATTCTTTTGTTTGTAGTAATTTTATTTATAGTTTTTCTGGAAATTTGTTGAAGTACAATTTGGATTTTATGCAGATTTGATGGTGAAATTTGAGGAATGTTGTGGTTCGTCGATGAATTTGAAGTGTAAGTTACCGAGCGAAGATTTGGATGTGTTGGTTTCAATCAAATCCGACGAGGACATTAAGAATGTGATTGAAGAATACAATAGAGTTTCGCCGGGAACAAAAATTAGAGCCTTGCTTTTCCCGATGAACTCGAAGAAAATCTCTCCTCCGTCTTCTCCTGTTTCGTCTTTTGATTTCCCGTCCGTTCTGAAACCGCGCAAAGCAGTTCCTGCCACCGCGTCTTGCTATTACGGACCTCCGCCTTGTGCCACGGCCGCAGTTGGATACCCTATGACCGTTGGAAAACACCATTGCTATAAAGGAAGGAGCCATAGGCAGAATTTGTACCATGTCCCTCACTGGAATTATTGTCATTCTCATTAGGAGTAGTTTGTACAAAAGAGACATTTGAATAGAGAAACGATGAATTTTACACATGAAAATACAAATGTAATTTGAATTAGAAACTAAAAACTGAAGTAAATTTGCAGTACTATGTGAACTAAACCTTGATGTTGAGAATTGAGATTCCAGTTTGCGTTGCACCTCTATGATTTTGCCACTTGGACATGGATTTAGGGTTCTGTTAGACGCCGTTACGGCAGTCCCGTTACCGTTAGGTACATAGTTTGTCTGATTCCGCTGCTCTTCCCGTGCAACCCACGCCCTTCGCTGAGCAATGGGTGGTTTCATCTTCAGTTTACACGTGTTATTCGCGTGAAATGTGGGCCGTGGGAATTCCTTTATGCATGTACCCATTGACGTGGGTCTCCATCTCTATGTGAGTTGTCGGTCCCACCATGTACATGTAGAACAACTCTTCGGATTTTGCTACCAACGGTATATGCCATATGGTGGCAGTACCATTACAATCACAGTATGCTGTGTTGAAAAATTCTCGTCATGTGCGCATGTTGGGTGGCCTAAATATGAAAAATTGTATCAAGTAAAAAATAAGGGAAAAAAAGAAAACACTATTGACTATCCCATTGGGCAACAGTGTAAGGGTAGAAATGGAACTAAAGTAATGAATAGGCAACTGTCATAAATCATCATAGTAGTTGTGGAAATACGATCTCAATAAAGATAACATGATATATCTTGGAGAGAAACGAAATCCTCTTTTAACTTTATCGAAAATTATTAAAATTTACGATAGTTAAAGTTAAGACACTTTAAGCTCCTGTTTGGGAGAAATTTTTCTTCAAATTTTAATTGCTTTTTTTTACCGTTGGAATAATAAGTAGCATGACATTTTTGACTTCTCCCTCACATTGGTGGGACCCAGGCTGTCAAGTAACAGTCAAATAATCAATTTTTTTGTCCAAAAAATCAGCTCCAAGCGTGGGCTTATTTAAAATTTCAAATATGAAAATGTCATGATGATGATATGAAACAAATTAGTAGGATAACAATGTGAGTTAATAGGCTTTTTCTAAACGTAACTTCCCCTACATCATAGATCTTTCGAAAGTATTGTGATGGTACCAAATAGGATATACGATTTTTTAGCTCAAGAACCCTAATCTAGGATTCTATAGAGCATAAAAGAAAGGGATTTTATGAAATTTTGTTGTGTACAAAATATTAGACTATTGAGGTCCTATCTATAGGATCACAATGAGGTCTAATTAAGGAGTGTTTTTATGTTTCGTTATTTTGTCATCCTTAAGAGAGTTTTAGAGTGTTTTTATGTGTGTTTTGATGTTGTGATGTAGGTTGATGAGATTGAAGAAAATAAACAAAAGTTGGAAAGGAAAGGGCTAAATTGTAAGAGATCTAAAGTTCGGGGACTAAAGTACAAATATTGAAAAGTTATACCGAACCTCACGATGAAGATTTGAGAGTGATCAGAGCCAATTGGATGAAGAAAGATGTCAAAGGGATCAAATTTAGTCAAAATATGATCACAAATCAATTTACAACCGAAAAGTTTTGCTCCAGATTTTTAGTCTCATATTGAGACTCATTTTTGACATAGTGAACGATTGAATTGGAGAATGATGTCTGAAGCAAAGTTGTAGGCCTTTGAGTTAGCTTTCCAACGCAACTTGAATCATCTCAATCGGATATCAGGAGAAAGAGTTATGTTAAAAATACTGAAGGAAGCGTAAACTGAATTTCAGCGAACCGGGCGCCTTGGCGCTCAAGATGGGCGCCTTGGCGCCCACAATGCTGAAAATCAGCAGACTACGCGGCGCCCAGGCGCCCAATCTGGGCGCCCGGGCGCCCGATACCGAGAAAGAGAAAAAATGGAAATTTTAAAAGATTTTCGGCCCGGTCCAACCCTATTTCGTCTTGCAACTTGTGGACACTATAAATACCATCATAAAGACCTAATTTTAGAGGTTGGAGAAGGAGGAAAAAGATACAAAACGGCTAAATCTTCAAGGACAATAAGAAGAAGGATTTGAAGAAATCAAGTGAAGAAAGGGTGGAAACATCAAAGGGGACTTCGATCAACACTCCAAAAAGAGTTTTTCTTACCTCCTCCTTTATGTTTTTCATTGTAGATTGTTTAGATTTTATGAATTTCTTCATGAACTAAATAATTTAGCTAGGGTTTGATGTAGCCACTTGAGATTATGATTTGATGAATTTATAATTACTTCTTTTGGATTTCCCACGTGTATTTAATTGTGTCATGAATTTAATGCTTTCAATTACCTGATCAATAATTGAATGAATAGATGCTAGTCAATTCCGGCACTCGAGAGAGGGGAATTTAGGCGTGATCATAGGATTGACGCAACGTAGGTTTTATGGGTTTCGAGAGAAAGTGTAAAATCTATGAAGCTTACTTCACAAAAGAATCGGGACTTTCATAAATTCTAGACTTTAATTCGGAATAGAGATATTGGGATTGAATTGTAGGATTAATTTCTAGCCGGCACTCGAGAGAGGGGAGAGAAATACAATTGGATTCTTGCTTTTAAATATTGGAAAATTAATTGGATAATTTGATATCATTGAATCATAATTGAAAGTTGGTGAAATCATTCCCTAGGCTTCTTCATTTTGATAATTTATATTCCTCAATTTTGTCTCAACCAATTTCATTACTTTAGTTTAAAACAATCAACCAATCATTCATCAATTGTCTAGATAAAATAGAAGTTGCATAATTATAGTACTTAGTGGAATTAAATTACAATCCCTGTGGGTTCGACATCCTAACTTTCATACTATATTACAAAACTTGACACCGTACACTTGCGGCATAAATTCACGTTATAGAAAACGCGTGACACAAGGCAAGCTCAATGACCAATAAAAAATTAATGATACGGTTTATAGTTTACACACCAATATCATCAATTTTTTTTAGCACACCGACGGATTCTCAATCGTGACAATCAAAATCGAAAGCATCATATAGTCTAATAAAATTTAGCCACAGTATGATTTAACTAAAATTCAGATTTTAATAAATTTTAATAAAAATTGATAAATATATGATTGAAAAATTGATAAAAGTTACGAGTCTCGGATAATATTTGATTGAATATGAGTTTTAGAAAATATAAATTCTGAAAATAGAGGTAAAATAGGAGCTTAATTTCTTTGTTCAATTAATTAAAGCAATTTGTATCCATTTTCATTTGCGAAAAAAAAAAAAAAAAAAATCTCGAACCGTTTTTCAAACCTGATAAGAATCAATCACCCACGTCCGCTCAATAAATTCAATAGGAAAAAGTCTTTAAGGCTGATGTCCCTTTGCTATAATTTCAAATCAAACGGTTTGGCTTATCAAATTCATAATATAAACACAACAAAATTGCTGATATATACACATTTGCATTCTCCATAAATCTTTATTCCTTTCCTTTGATGTTTTAAAATTTGAGAAATTAAAATTAAATTCGGGGCTATAAATACAGATAGTTCTTTTTGTCCAAGAAAGTGTGCTTTTACCGAATTGAACAAAAATGAAATTCTAGTAAAGTTTTTTTAAGATATTATTTTCGATAATTCAACCTATCAAATTTGATGATCGAAACAACACGTCATGTTTGAGAGCCATTGTTTTCTTACCCGATCAATATAGAGTTTTGTGCCCAAACCCACAAATCAAACCAAACCGCCTTCTACTATAAAAAGAAGTTGCATAAAATTTTTGTTATTCGTGTCACTTTCAGCATGCACCCACGTTTCTTTATGCCTTCAAATACAATCCTGTCTGGCCTCTCCCACTATATCCTATAAAGCCGCCTCTTCATCAAGAACCAAGCAAGATAATCTTGTTTGGAACAAAAAAGAAATGCTTTTGTTTCAAGAAATGTTGTATTGACAAATAATTAGTGACCCACAAAAAAAAAAAGGAAAAGAAAAAAAATGAGGCTCTATGTCTATTTGTTGGAGGGTAGAGATTGGGCAGTGAAGGATTCTTATTTGAAGTTACAAGTTGGCAAGTTCAAGTCAAAAACAAGAGTGTTGAAGAATACGAAAAACCCATTTTGGAACGAGGAGTTTGTATTTAGAGTTCATGATTTGGAGGATGAACTTGTGGTGTCAATGTACCATCAAGGGGAGCATCAGTCAGGGTACTTCAATGGTTCTGCTGGGGATTTGATGGGTCGGGTCAAGATTCCTTTATGGACTGTTGCTAATGAAGAAAATAAAAATTTGCAACCAACTTGGTTCTCTCTTGAGAGGCCTAAGGGTGTGAAGTCAGTTGATAACGATTGTGGTTAGTGTTCTTCTTTTATTTCATTTTTTGGGTTATAGTTTTTATTTGATTCTTTATGGATTGAAGTGATTATGAGGAAGTTTAGGCATTTGAAATTTATGAAATGTGCCTTATTTCAGTAATGCTATCATTTTATGTATGATAATAGACGTTGATTGAAATTTGATAATTTTATGGTCTTTTATTGATTAATTCATGATTTGGGTATTCAAGCATATGATGTTCAGTTGAAAGTTTATACAAATTGATGGAGGTATATGACTATGAAAGAGTTCAGAGGAAGTAACAGGATTTTGATGAAATTTTGTTTTTATGTTCATTGTTCTGAACATAAATTCAGAAGATCTCAACATAGACGCGTCTGTAATACCCCATATGTTGTCGTCCCGCAGTTTTTGTGGAAAGTTGGAGGTAGCAACTTATGAGTAGGAGTTGTGGGTTGAAGTTGTAATCTTCATTAATCTATTGGGAATAAGTGGAAAAGTGTACTGATCAAGTAATTACTGCTTGAGCTAGGTTAGTGGCCTAGAGGGTTTGGGTGTGACACTATTGATGAGTCGATTCCTAGACTACTACTTTTGGATTGTCAACTAATGGTTTCTCTCTTTGCATTTTGATTGCCTAGGGTACGTCACAATTACATTTTAGGACTTTGGACTAGTGTTGTAATGACACTTTGGGAGTAAGATGGCACTTCGACCTATGTTTAAATAGCATTCTAAGAAATAAGGAGGTGTAAATTCCGCTCGCTCACTCAATGAGAGATGAAATACATCATTCTCGCATTTTGCTTTGCAAGTGTTGTGAGAATGGAGATGGATTCAAAATTTATACCCAGTTATCCTACAGAAGTTAACGCAGGGACTAGGTGGGGGTATATAGTTATATCAGTTCCTGAATATATATCTTAAAATTAATCTATAATTGCAATAGGGCACTTGCTTTCTCCAGAACAAACCCGTTTATAGTCCTACAACATATGAGCCTCACTGCGAAATGTGCTAGTAAAGAAACAAAAGAATGCTTTATTTTTCTTGTTACATTAAAAATCCTGGAAAAACACTGCAGTGCTCAATTTTAAGGGCGGGGCCCTTTTCCGATCTATAAACTTTAACAAGGTTAAAAAATATAAGCTTTACTCAGAGATTTAATCTTCATCGATGTTTTCTCAAAACCCGTTGACATAAGTAAGTAGGTCACTGTTCTAGACAAGTTGAAGATGTGTATCTTCTGCTAAGGATCGCCCCACATTCGGCTATGTGATAGTCAAATCAAACTTACGAATATAGTTTAATTTGCATTGGGGTTATACGTACTCATAAAACCTATCTTCATCCTGTAAATTTAGGTAAACTTCTTCTCAGTCTTTCCCTGCATGGGAAAGGCCAAGACATTGCCACAGACCATCTTTCCAATGTACATTTGAGTGCTGAAAATTATAACTTCAAAGAATGGGAAGGCACATTCGCTTCATCTCACAATAATCGTTGTTCAACTGCTCCATCCAGAAAGATAGCGGACGGTAAACAATTGATAAAGGCAATGGCTGGTCGTTTGGAGAAATTCTTCACTAAAAAGGAAGAAACGTCAAAGAAGGATGATTCATCTGAACAGTCCACTTCTCTGTCAGATTATGAAGATCAAATGGAGGAACCTCCTAACTGCTCTAGTTTTAAAGAATCAATTGAACTGATGCAGTCTAAGAATGAAGAAAGAGAAATGCCAGAGAATCTGCAGGGAGGCATTCTTCTTGATCACACATATATGACACTACCCAAGGATCTTAATATGGCTCTTTTTGCTCCTGATTCAGAGTTTAGAAAGGAGTTGGCGGATTTGCAGGGAACAACAGATATTCAAGAGGGACCTTGGACATGGAAATCCAGAGACACGTCATGTTTGACTCGCATGGTTACATATACAAAAGCTGCAACAAAATTAGTTAAGGCTGTTAAAGCCACTGAAGAGCAAATCTATGTCAAGGCCAATGGAAAAGAATTTGCTGTTCTTGTTCATGTGAGTACTCCAGACGTTCCCTACGGGAACACATTCAAGATTGAATTGCTTTATAAGATAATGCCTGGTGCAGAGCTATCTTATGGAGAAGAATCTGCTCATCTTGTAGTATCTTGGGCCATTAACTTCAATCAAAGTACCATGATGAAAGGGATGATTGAAGGAGGAGCCAGGCAAGGATTGAAGGAGAGTTTTGAGCAGTTTTCCAGCTTATTATCCCAAATATATAAAGTAATAACTGCTGGAGATATGTCAGCTAAGGATCATATGTTGGCAACTTTGCAGACTGAGCAACAGTTTGATTGGGGATTGGCAATTCAGTATTTTTGGAATTTCCCAATGGTCTCTACCCTTCTTATTTTTTTATATGTCCTTGTGCACATTTTTCTTTGTGGTCGAAGCAAACTGCAAGGATTAGAATTTCCTGGTCTCGATTTACCAGACAGTATTGGAGAAATTGTCACCTGTGGGATATTGGTATTTAAATTGGAGAAAGTTTATACCATGATTTCACGTTTTGTTGAAGCTAGTCTCCGGAGAGGTAAATAGTCAGCTATATTCTTATATATTTCAAATTTATGTTGATTTTGTAATGCGCTGTGTAGTATGAGTACACTCCAAATATTATATTATTGACAGGAAGTGATCATGGAGTGAAAGCACAGGGTGATGGATGGGTGCTTACAGTGGCATTGATTGATGGGGTGAACTTAAATTCTTTGAATCCAACAGAGTTGGTGGATCCATATGTTGTGTTCACTTGCAATGGTAAGACTAGAACAAGCTCTGTCAAGCTTCAAACTCTTGATCCTCAGTGGAATGGTAATATATTCGTTTCTCTCGTCCTTTTATTCGGAAATTTTTGTTCTCCTCTATCTGGTAAAATATCATCTTTATAATTTACACAGAGATACTCGAGTTTGATGCTGTGGAAGAACCACCTTCTACCCTGGACGTGGAAGTTTTTGACTTTGATGGTCCATTTGATCAATCATCGTCTCTTGGACATGCTGAGATCAATTTTTTAAAGCACACATCCACTGAACTAGCAGATTTGTGGGTTCCACTTGAGGGAAAAATTGCTCAGTCTTCTCAGTCAAAGCTGCATGTGAGAATCTTTTTGGATAATAACAATGGAGTTGAAACGATTAGAGATTATTTGGCTAAAATGGAAAAAGAAGTTGGAAAGAAGGTAAAATTGTGCTTATTTTACTTTGCACCTGGAAATTGTTATTGATGATTTATACTTGTCTACATGAATTGTGCTCGCAGTTGAACATTCGATCACCACACAGGAATTCGATGTTTCAGAAAATATTTGGATTGCCGCCAGAAGAATTTCTTATCAGTGATTTTTCTTGTTCATTGAAAAGAAAGATGCCATTGCAGGTAAGACTCCTCTTCCATTGGCCTTTTAGTTGGATAAGTTTCAAATCTCTCTACCCTATCAATTCCTTAGAACTATCTCCCTTGCTTCCTCTTTCATCCCACTTCTCTCTAAACCAATAATGGAGAAGTTAAGGACGTTTCTCAAACTAATTAAAGAAACAATCATAGTTAAGGTGAGTAAATAATGACATATAAAAGCTTGGGAATACAATGATTTTATCCTGTTAAATGCACTGTTGTGCTAAAAGAACAAATTGTTGATTACATTTTAGTCAAAAGGCAGTTACGTTACCCATCTTGATATTTTGTTTTTATTATGGAGATTTTGCTGTTACGTAGAAAACCAGGAGAACAAGTCATTAGTGCAACTACATTAGCTTCAAACATAATTGTAAGACGACAAGTGATTTGAACATGCATTATCTAAGCAAGTCGCTGTACACTCCAAATTCCCCTAATGCTGATGCAACGTGAAGATGGCTTTCACAGTTCCCAAAGTTATTTTTTCTTATCATTATTTTCTGTATAATCAAGGAGTTCACTTTCTAATTCTTTTATCAGTTCTTCCAGTTTCCAGTCAAGTTTTCGTAATTGTAGTTTGACACACCATCTGACTTGCTGCAGGGGCGGCTTTTCTTATCAGCGAGAATTGTTGGATTCTATGCCAACTTGTTTGGACATAAAACGAAACTTTTCTTCCTTTGGGAGGACATTGAAGATATTCATGTGCATCCTCCATCCCTGTCAACAGTTGGAAGCCCTTCTCTTGTCATAATTTTGCACAAAGGTCGAGGTCTTGATGCTAAGCACGGTGCAAAGATTCTAGATGAGGAAGGAAGACTGCATTTCCACTTCCACTCTTTTGTTTCTTTCAATGTCGCGAGCAGGTATTTCTGGTGCAAAGACGTGTGCAGTTTTACATAGACGATATAAATTATTTGTCAAATACAATCTATGTGTCACATGGATGTCTCAATTAAAATGGCAGGACAACTATGGCCTTATGGAGAACAAGAATGCTGGAACAGGATCAGAAAGTTCATATTGCAGAACAACAGCTGGATGATGAGGGGAAGCCCATTTTACTTGAAGACACTGGATCCTACTTGATTGTTGACGATGTAAACATGTCTCGCGTTTACTCTGTGGTACTTCCTATCAGTGTAAGCAATTCACATATCGCTCTGTAATTTGAAAATGAATGTGCACAGAATGAACCATTTTAGTCAACTAATAATTGTAATCTTCATTTCATCTCGCAAATTCTAGTTCTAAACAAATAATCAATCAAAAGAAGAAACACCATCACAAGCCATCATTTTTACATTCTTGTAGATATTTTACATTCGTTTCTACATTGAACACTTACTGTTGATTTATTTTTATTTTTTTCTGGGGACATTCCTACAGATAAAATCACTGATGAGGATTTTCGACGGTGGAGAGTTGGAACATAAAGTGATGAGCAAATCTGGCTGTCTCAACTATGTGACAACTGCATGGGAAACTGTGGCTTCTGATGTATATGAAAGACGGATATCTTACAGGTTTAGCCGTCGGGTCTCAACCTTTGGAGGAGAAGTTTCCTGTACACAACAAAAATCTCCCATACCAAATGATGGAGGATGGGTTGTGCACGAGATTATGACCCTTCCTGATGTACCATTTGCTGATCACTTCCGAGTAAGTTTCCTTTGCTAGGAAAAATGGACTAGTTTCAGATTTTTAAACTAGTGTAATTGATGTGCAAGTCAGACTTATTTCTTCTTGCATGCAGGTCCAATTCAGATACCAGATCGAGAAATCTACTCTTTCTCTTAACTCTTGCAAGAGCGATATCTATGTCGGTGTCACGTGGCTGAAAAACACCAGGTTTGAACCGAGAGTGACAAGGAATATTATTGGCAAGTTTACCCGTCGGTTGGAGGAAATACTGCAATTGGTGGAAAAAGAAATCTTATTAGCAACTCAACTGTGAATAGGAATTTATCAAATTTCCATTCAGATTCAGGAATTCTGCTCAATCTCAAGTGCATTTTATAGCAATCGATCATCATCTCTAGGTGTCTTACTAACTTCAATAATGGTAACATTGGCAAAATGAAATCCCTTTGCATTCTGGGAATAACCTTTGGCCGATCACCAAAGAATCAATTGCTCAGGTTTGACTTTTCGGTACATTTACAATTTTTATTTTTGACGTTTAACCCATTATCCATAGTTCGACTCTTTGGACCCTGAAGTTTAGCTTTTAATGATTGATCTTTTCTGTGATATCTTTTAGGGTATTTTTCGATCCATGCAAAGGAACCTTGAGTATCAAATCAGTATTTTTGTGAAGTAATATTAGTCAGGACATAATTTTTCTTATCGAACAACCTCTTCTAATGCAAATGCCACTGTCTTTTTTTATGTGGATTTTTAATCATCTCATCTAAAAGCTTATGCAGTGAGAGAGAGTCATATGTTTTTCATTCAAAACTTGTCTTCAACAAGACCCCTCATGTATAGATGGGGTTAGTTATTTCTCATTATAGCCCAACACACGCACATTTTCATTAAATGGGCTACGAAATTTGACCTAAGAACTTTGCTTGCTCGAATACCATACTAAGGGTTGTTTCATTGGAGAATGCAAAGTATGTTTGGAATAATGTGTTTATAAACACATTTAATTATAGAAACTTTTGATCATATCACTTTATCTACGCATTTCGTAGGTAGTCTCCACTTTGTCATCACTCATTTCTATTGTTTATAAACACTTCCCAAGCATAAAATTTTCCCGGTTGCAGAATAGAACATAGCAGCACCAACTAGATTGATTCATGATATGGATTTTAGTCTGGAAGTTAATTAATTAAGGGCATGAGCTTTTTGTAACTGCAAGTGTAATTTTAAAAGTGGAATGTTTGGTCAGCAAGACTGTACAGTAAAATCACAATATTTAAACTTGTTATCTCTTTCTTAATAGTGTCGAGTACTATAGAGTCCACCTTATCGAACAACCCGTAAGAAATTTCATTTAATTGGCTGATTTTGTAGGATTATTCATGTGGTCTTACAAGTTGTAAAAAAAATCTAGGAAGGAAATGCTTCAACATCATCCATCAAGAACATTAGGCAGAGTAGTAGTACATATTGCAGTTGGCAGCATTGTATTTTAACATCTTCCCAACAGATAATCTACATTTGAAGCATGTTTGTCTAAGCTTAAAAGGTTTACTTATATCTAAGTCTAAATAAGCAAGTTTTAAAATAAAATTCGTTTTTATCGATAAAAGTTTGAAATAAGTTACTTATTTTGACATTAAAATAAGAGTTATTTTCATACAATAAATTTTTTTTACTCAAAATTAAGAAAAGTGTCATATTTGTTAGTTCATGCCAGAGTGATATTACAAAAATCATTTGAAAGACTCATAATCCACAAGATTAGTATCTGAAATTTGATGTTCTTCAGAATATATGAAATTTTTTATCCTATAATAATCTGATATCATAAAATATATTGTAAAATCATTTATTTCCAATTCTCCTTGTAAAACAAGTACTGTTATTGATATAAACTATTACTTGAACACTGTTTTTATAACATGGGCAATACAGTTTTATTATTAAGAAATCATTTAAGGTTTTGTCTTATACATACATGTTACTGCACTGTTACCCATAAGTTTAACAAGAAACAAAACAGCAGCAAAAGATAGTTTTTCCCGAATAAAATAGAATCCATAATTCTATGTTGTTCTGTGAATTCAACATTTGGAGTCTAGGTCAATGCATACACGACTTGTTTGGCACACAGTAGTGAATGAGATAAGAATGAACAAAAAAATAAGATTTTGATTCATTTTTTTTCTTGAGGATATATTATGCACAAGAAATTGGACAGTACACTTTTTTAATACCGTCAAGTACTGTAGTTAGCTTTTGTATAACTTGTTAATATTGTATGAAGATACATGTACAAAGATACTAGCTAATGTATACATGATTGGTACATAGAACTAAATAGGATTTGACTGGACTATATATTGGAATCAATTTTAAATTTTTTTCTTAAAGATATTTATGGTACATAGTACTGATTAAGAGTGGACAATCCAATGGATAAGATTTTAACTTTTTAAGGATGCGTTTGGTAAACTATATTGAATAGGTTGACAATATAATGAACAAGATTTTAAGCTTTTTATTTTAATATTGCCCTCTAGTGTAGATTTAATTTTTACCGTACTTTTTAATATAATGTGGACATACATATACATTGATTCTCTGAAAGTGTCCATTGTCGTTGAAGTTAATAAATTAGTAAGATTGGTGCCCTTATTGCCAACCTTGCCATGTGCAGCACATGGCTTCCAATTCCATTCCGATCTGTACATATAATTCACAAATGAAAACATATCAGAAACAACTAAAAACCACCTTCTTCTTCTCTAGTCTTTCTTCAAAGTTTTAACATTCTGTCATTCATAGATGAACCCTGAGGGATCCAAACCAACCAAGGCTACAACAAGCCTATTGTTTTTCTTGATTTCATTCTACATCCTCGTGTCATGTGTCGACACGACAATCTGTTTTTCGGGGTATTATGTGTCGATCTTACCACTTATTGCTTCCTTTCTTCTTGCAGGATTAATCACTTTCGCGGTCCGTACCACCATTCTGACATGGATAACAGTGCTGGTGCTCCTAGCTTTTGCCGGGAAACGACGTCGAGTTCTTGTTAAGGAGGGAAGGAGGATCACATCAGATGTTGCAATGTACTTAGCCCGGGTTGTTCTTAAAGATAGGAGCCTTGTTGCTGTTGCTTTCGCCACAGTTTTCAGCCTCATGGCAATGGCAATTGGTTAAAAACAGATAATTTTGGATGAAATATTTCTTCTTGTCTGGTCTTTAATTTTCTTGTATCTCAAGTATTTTTTCCTTTGTTGTATACTTTTGAAATGTATGGTAAAATGCAATGATAACATTGAACAGTGTTAATGAAAAATTGTGTAGTGCAGCGTGCCAAACATACTTTTTCTACACCAAAATGTACCATATATAAGTACAAGCTTTTTATATGTACAAGAAATTGCTCAATTTATATAGTATGATAATAATACCCATTTAAGGGTGACATTTGTCATTTTTCTGAATTTTTAATTTTCCTGTTGTAATTTGCCCCTATATTGGTTAATATGCATACATTTTTAGGCAATTAGTCAGGCTCCGGCACTAGACTTAACCTTTTATGTACACGTTCGTAAAGTTCTATTCTACATGACATACCGCTTATAGTCACTTAAAATTTAATTTAGTGTATGTATGGTAAAGTTTAATTTATAATTTAAATCAATTGTTTCCATACAGCTTTAATTTAGTGCAAGTATTGTAAAGTCCTTTGTCATCCAATTTTTATAAAGATGACTACTGTCCAGTCCCAATTATCTATATATATAACCAAGCGGAGTAGTAAATGGAAATATCTAAATCACCACCCGCCTCTTGAAATTTTCAACTAAGCTAAGGAACCTCACAACTCCATTACCATCCCTACTGACTCATTAGTATATTATTATTTTCAAATATAATGAAAAGAACTAGTTGCATCGCTCCTTGCCATGCTTCCCGAATGTTATTTACGGAGTGAGAGACTAGAAGGGTCGCACCGACATTGTTGCATCTCTACAAAGTTACGAGTGTAATAGTTATGTATAAGAAATACTTTTTTTTCATCTACAATGAGAAGAACTAGTTGTGCACTTAAATCAATAGTTTGGGGATCAACTATGAAATTTTCTCTTTTCTTTGGGGAGAAGGAAAGAAAAGAGAGTTCCCAATTATGCAAGAGTTACTGTTCCAATCGAACTCTTTTCTCTACTATAAAAGAGATTGCATTTATCCCGATTGAAATATAGATTTATCTAAATCCTCTGTTAATAGAAGCAGGGTTTTCCTTCAATTTAATCTACAAAAAACTAAAAAATAGAACAAGTTTTTGTTGCCACGAACGCGATTTGGAGCGTGGATTTTGCTTTCAAGCTATGGAGACTTCTACAATTGTGATCAAGGTTAATTCTTTTCATTTTCTATTTTTTAGTCTCTTCTGTTTGCTGTTTTATTGGTTTAATGGCTTTGCATGGATTTTGCTATGGATTTTTAATGTCTCTGGTGTTATGGTGAGTTTTTTCTACTTTTATTTTTATTTTTGTGCTCTGTTTAGAGGAGTTTATCGATCGCACATGTGTTTCAATTCTGGACGCAAGGGCTTAATGTGTATTTTTTCTTCTTCTTCATTTTTCTTTTTTTCTCGTGTTTATAGTGAAAATTCTGCAATTGATTTTGGATATCGGTTGGGCTTTTGATTTTTCTGTAAAACCCTTAAGTTATTCTGTAACATACAGTAGAAAATCGAGAGATGGTGGGCCCCTCTCTGTTTTATTCATTCCTTTGTTAGTGACAATTTTAGAATTTGAATTTTGCAATTAATGTATATATTTTGTGTCATGAAATCTCTCACAGCTTTCCTTTCTTTTTTTTGTGATACAAGTTTTCGAAATTATTGCTTCTAAAATATGCCTTAGATTAACTTTCTGGAATTTTTTTATGATTTTTATCCGTTTCCCCAATCTCAAAGAACATCTTCAATGAACCTAACCTCCTTTATTAAGCCTTTTCAATGTAGAGTTTAGAATTTCTTTACTTTTAACTCCACATGTTTGTTCAAACTATCATGATCCTAAGTTCTAATTCTCTCTTGATGTGATCTTAGACAAATATACTTTAGAAGAATGACTGTATGGGTATGTTTATAAAACAGAGAGAAAGGTTTCATTTTGTTATTGCTCATTTTCAATATGTGTCTCTGCTAGCAACTTTGATCGAGGTCAAAAAATATGTCCTCAAGTGATATGCATTTTGATCTGATGATAAATAATTATAGCAATAGGCCTGCAAGTGCGAAGCTGGTAAATAAATGGGTCTGCAAGCTATATCTAGTACAGATGTTTGTGTGGGTTCAATATACTTTTTAACACTTGTTAGTTATTTTTCAGCATCTGCTATTCATTTAACAATCTTTCCCCAATCAGTCCCAATATCATCCGAGTTTTCCTTGATTCCTAATGTTCTTTATGGCAACCTTTCTACAGGCAAAGTATGGGGACATGCTCAGGCGGTTCAATGCCCAAATTATTAACAAGGAACTGTATCTTAATATTGATGGACTGAGAGAGAAGATCTTTGCTTTATTCAACTTAGCTCCTGGTGCTGAGCTCACACTTACCTATATTGATGAAGATGGTGATGTGGTGACGATTGTTGATGATGATGATCTGCGTGATGTGGTGAGGCAGGCCCTGAACCCCTTAAGGATTACTGTGAAGGTGAACACTAAGCAGAATGGCAGACAATATGCTCGTTCAAGTGGAAGTTCGACTCCCTTGAGCTTGCCTAGAGTCCAGCAACCCTTCCAAAAGCTGAACTCTAACATCTCTGAAATTTTGAAATCTGTGCCAGAGCCTCTATGTGAAACTCTCTTGAAGCTTTCAACTGAGTTGTCATCTAAAACGTACTCCTCTGCACCAGGTATTACCGAGCTTGCTGACTACTTCTCAAAGATAGGTTTGTCCTACCTAGATCAGCGTTCAGAGTCCGAATCTGGAGTGCAGTCTAGTACACAAAGTGAGGCTCCTGAAAGCACCGCAGCTGCAAGAGAAGCCAAAGACTTGGATTCCTCCAAGCCTGAAGAGCGATCTTTGAGAAGCAATGAGGGCTTGCCAAAATTTAAACCTGAAGCAGCCTTGGGAAACAATGAGCTGAAACTGGGAAAGACAATTGTAGGTAGCACAGACCCCTTGTATTTGGAAGAACCTAGCCTCAAAGCTGTGGATGCAGCAATTGGCTCTCTGAATTTTGATGTTGGATACCCCAACAATGAATCTCTGCACGAATCATCATGCTTGGATCCTAAACCAAGTGTTGTGGCTGCTACTGTTGATAAGAAGAAAAAGTTGAAGAAGAGTATTAGATGTTATTCAAACGAAGAGTCTCCTTTGGCATCTTCTAGTCTGCCACTTCTTGCAAATGATGTTCCTATTCAAAAGGAGGTTGATAAGCCTAGTGAGCCTCATGATGGACCAAAGCCTTCTAATGTGGGTTCTTCCACTGGTAATGCTGATCCTACGAGACGGGGCCATCCAGTTGGTGGGATAAATTATGTACTTGAGAACTCCCCAGTCTCGCATTTTGGTCCTGGTTCTGTTAACAAGCCTCCGCTTTTTGGAATACCTCGAGGAAATGATTCAGCTGCCCCCTCACATTCCACCATCCCACCATTTAGGAGCATTATTCAGAATGATGCCACTGGGACTATTGTACATTTGGGTGTTTCTTGCGATGGTTGTGGGTCCCATCCTATAACTGGACCAAGGTTCAAGTCAAAAGTGTAAGAACTAAGACAGTGACCTTACTAATTTTCCGATGAATATCTGTGTCATAGAGAATCTTTGTGTGTTAAACTGATCAGTCTTTTACTGCAGGAAAAAGAATTATGATCTGTGCCAAATCTGCTTTCTTAAAATGGGAAATGTTTCTGACTATGTCAGAATTGCTCATGAGGTGGATAAGCAGTACCCCACGTCTATCAAGGGATTGTATGGCCATGTATGTAAAATTCATTGTCCTGTTTGTTTCTTTATTAGAGTTCTTTTAAGCATTTATCATTTCCTTTATTTTGTTAAATTTTATTGCTCGTGTCTTCTCTTAACACAGCATGCTGAGGACCAGGTGATCGTCAAGGGTTGCCAGGATAGAACGGGTATAGGCAAGCTAGACAGTTGCTTCATTCAGGATGTGAATATTGTCGATGAAACTGTGATGGCCCCTTTGACTCCATTTACCAAGATTTGGCGGATGGGGAACAGTGGTACATCGGTGTGGCCCCAAAAAACACAACTTGTTTGGACTGGAGGAGACAGATTAAGCAATGCATTTGTGGTTGAAGTAGAGGTTGGTTATCACCATTATATTTTTTACATGGTTTCAAATACCAGTTTTTGTATCATATATGGTCAGATTCTAATGATAATTTTACACGTGTGTATAATATTTGTTTGTCTTGTGCCATTTCTCATATTTTCTTCCACTCCTTTTCTTCTTCCAAATGGTAGCATCTTGTTTGGTTATGCTTCATTTGCCGTTTCTACTTTTTGATACTACTAATTCTTGTTTCTTTTTGTCTGCAATGAGGGATGACACCTTGTCTTTGCATGTTTCTCCCATCAGTATTAGTAGTTTTTTATAATAATTATCATCAAAAGACAAGACTAATCATCATGGTTTTCATTCAATCGCTAGATTCCTGTGGGTGGTTTGCCTGTTGGCCAGGAGATTGATGTCGCAGTTGATTTTGTAGCTCCTGAGCTTCCAGGTCGGTATATCTCCCACTGGAGGATGACCTCGCCTTCTGGCATACAATTTGGGGCACATATTTGGGTTCACATCCAGGTTGGCACAGTTTTGCAATTTTCATGATTCGGTTTCCTTAATTATTTGCCATTCTAATTGGATATGTTTCTGTCACTTTTTTATGTATTCATTCAGGTTGTTGCTTCCAAGGAGGCGCTGTCACGTGAGAGCCTGAACTTGAACTTACCTCCACTAAGCTACCCGTTAAGTGGCCCTGAAATTATAAATGTGGGTCCAGGAACCATGGTGCATGGAAGACAATTTGTGCCTGTCAACTCCAATAAACCTGTCGAATCAGTGAAACTATTGGTTGATGCACAGCCAAACAACGAGCAGGATGCGAAATTCCCCATCAACGATATCTTGTTGGTTGGTGATGGTGAGTCAAGCTCTATTTTTACAGTACCTTCAACTTTTTCATATCCTATCGTTGATCTCTCCGAGGTGGTTCCTGCTTTGCCTTCTCCATCCCAAGCTCTGCTTTCTGCGGCGCCACCATCGATTGCAACTGCACAGGCTTCTGTTCAAGAGGTTTCTGAAAAGTATGATTTAGAGGAGAAACTTCTGAAGGAACTTGAGGAAATGGGCTTCATACAGGTTGATTTGAACAAGGAGATCTTGAGGATGAATGAGTACAACTTGGAGCAAACAGTGGATCATCTTTGCTGTATTGCTGATTAGCATTCTATTCCTTAGGAGCTCCACTTGATGGTGAGTTTCTCTTAAACATATTTCACATGTTTGGTGCTTCGTATTAGAAAGGCCTGAATAGTATAATGTACAATATTTTAGCTTTTTTTTTCTTCCCTTTTAATACTACTCAGTACTATATAATCGTCTCTACTGGACATTCTATACACGGATAAAGATGAATATACTGTAAATCTTCTCTAGTTCTTTATATCTTTTCCTTTCCCCTATTATTCAATTTGGACAGTTATTCTTACTGTTCTTTTTGTTTCAATGGGTTGCTCATGCAGGGTTTGGTGATACAGAAATGAACAAGAAGTTCCTAAAGAAGAATAATGAAGTATTAAGATCGTGGCTATAAATAAATTCAAGAATCATGTTAAATAATTATGGTACCTTTTGGTTTTTAGTCTATAAGCTTGTTACTTAGTATGTTCCATATGTTACCTAGTACCTTTTGGCTCGTTACCACCTACACCTAGTACGTTTGCATATGTTGGTTATATGTTGGCTTTTGGTTCTTGGTCTATTGGCTTGTTACTGGAATATGTTTATGTTATCTGGTACCGTTTGGTTCTTAGTCTATTGGCTCATTATCCTAATATGTTGCTTATGTTCGACGCATTGGGTGAATTTGTTGAATGGTCGTTTATACATCTTGTGCTTCTCCAAGAGTACACACGTGCATGCGCACAAGCAGCAGGGGTATATATTGGATAAATTTTTTTATTTTTTATTTGAAGTCACAACTACACCAAGAATCTATTTCGTTGATAAATAATGAGTAATGCTATTCATCACCATTCAAGTACCAATCTAGATGGCAACCGCGCGACATTAAATAATATATTTACATGGGGTGTTTGAGCCCCATTATTTTTGCATAATGTATTTGGAATATAATAGATTGATGGGGAACGTGCAGCTAAAAAAAAATGATTTTTTTATTTGCGTATAATATTATTTAATGAAGAATGCGTGGTTGAAAAAAAGAAAGAAAAATGTATTTTGGAAAAAAAAGGGAATTAAACATCTCCTTAAATGTAATGTCATGTGATTCCATTTAATTGAACGTCGCAAACATGGAATCGTAAACATTTTTTTCTAGCATATTCCTTGTCGGCCGCAAATTATTTCCAGAAGAAAAAAGAATGAGGTTCCATTCATAGGACACCACAGATTAATCTTGAAGAGAATATAGTGTCATCTATAAATTTGCAATTTTGTTTCAAGTCCTTCAGTGCAAAAGTGCTGAAATCAAAGCATAACAATGAATAGATGTTCTCAACGCGAAGGTGGACAGTATTCCCCGGTGAATCATCTTGAACATCACGAGCCCTTCTCGGTGATGCATCATCAGCATAAAATGCCCTTCTCGGTGATGCATCACGAACATCTTGTGCCAGTACCGGAAAAACATCATGGATCTCACGGTCAGGAGGCGCACAAGAAAGTTCACTTTGTTGAAAAGGTCACTGAAATTGATCATGATGGAAAACGTGAAGTTATTGAAGAAACAAGTATTGATATGGAATCCAATGACTATATCCAAGAGAAGCACAAGAATTTTGATACTTTCAAACGGGGTTCCTTCAAGGGGCATTAAGATTGAATCATATTGGCAGGCATGATTACATCTAAATATAAATAATGTTATTATTAGGGTTAGAGCCTTGTACTCGATATAAATAACATGTCTGTCGTTATAATTTGTATTGGCTATGCTAGCCCTTAAGAACAAAGGTGATTCTGTTCACGATTCATGCAATCTGCTAATATCCTTTTTTTTTTTTAAGAAGGCAGACTATATACTTGTTAAATGCCTTTAAAACAAAACGACGCAAGGTTTATATGGTTTTTTGCTCTTTAAATTGCTAAAATTACAAAAATCTTATTACATGTGCATAAATGTTTACATAATGGATTACATAAATATCATATAGTACTCTACTATTTGTCAGTTAAAATACAGTTAACTTTTTCATTCAATTTTTTTTTTCCTCCATATCATTTTATGTAATCACATATGTACTATTTTCACGTACAATTAGCATAATCCAAATTGCAACAATAACAACCGAACTTTAAAAAAATCGAGACTGTCATTATTGAAGGTGAACCACTATAAATTAGTTTATTTGCATGTTTTCGTTCTATTTATTTTCACTCTCATAATTAGAATTCGGCCTTAATCTATTACACACTCTTCATAGTTTGCTGTAACACCCCATCTTCACCCATCCCGGCATTGCAAATCTGGAATTTTTTTTTTTTTGGCAAAATCTATGATGTAAGAGAATCTCCAGCTTGAGATTATCCAAGACTAAGAACCTCCAGTTGAGGCATTGGATTCCTGCAAATGATATTGACAAATATTGGACTTAACTACAACTTTACAATAATGGGAATCGATCTTTTCCTATGGATAACAGCAGCGTCCAATCCGTTTGGAAACCATTTATAATTCAAATATAAATGATTTAAGCTTCCATTTGATAAATTTATAAAGGGAAACAATACGAGAAAAATAGTGGGTTCCATTATATGTGCAGAAAACAATATGTAATAATTATGATCATGCTTTTTTTTATTGAAATTAATAAATTATTTATAAATTTATATACAACCACACAAATGTCACCTCCACTTTCTTTATTCCAACCACACACACCCTTTATTTCAGATGGAACAGCACTGAAATTAATTAAAGACGCTGTGTTTGATTTTGGCCAAAACATGATTCTTAAAATTGCTTTTTTACTAAAAACTTATTTTCCAAAAGTGTAACTTCAAGAACAATCAAAGATGCTCTAAAAATCAATAAATGATGGGGGTTTTTTTGGGGGGGGGGGGGGGGGGGGGGGGGGGGGGGTGGTGGTGGAGGTGGAGGAGGAGGTGGCGGTGGTGGTGGTGGTGGCGGAGGAGGTGGTGGAGGTGGAGATTGTGTTGGTGGAGGTGGAGGTGGAGGTGGAGG